TGACCGTATGGATCGCACATGTCCCTATGGATCTCCTCTATATCCCAAGGGACCCCCCTATGGAGCGCCCATATCGCAAGGGATCCCCTCCATACTGATCCCTATGGATTCCCCCGTGTCCGTAAGGACCTCATCCCTGTGGATCACCCTTATTCCTATGGGAATACCTTGGGTCCTCCTTATCCGCACAGATCCCCCTCTGAGGTGACCCCCAAGGATCCCCCCCAATATCAGTCACTAAAACCCTCCACCCCCAGCCCCAGATCCCTATGGATCACCCAAATCCCCATGGATCCCCACCCACCCCTGCTGGCAGCAAAAACACTCCTCACACCGACTTCACTTTTTTTTTCCTAAATTTTATTTTTTTTATAGTAATGACATGAGAACAGAAACATTATTTTTCACTTTATTATACAAAAAAAAAAACTCAAAAAACAACGAAAAAAAAATAAAAGAACCGAAACCCAAGCAAACCGGGGAGCTGCAGAGCGGGGGCGGCCGTGCCGCCCCCCCGGCCCACTCGCCCGTACACAAATCTGAAGCTGGGATTTTCTTTTTTTTTTTTTTGGATTTTTTTCATATTTTTTTTAAACCTACAAAAACACTCTTTAAATATTAGAAAAAAAAAAAGATGATTTTTTTTTGTTTTTTGTTTTTTTAAATGTAATTCACAAGAACTTCCATCTAAAGGAGCCCGGGTTTTTGTGGCAGTGCAAAAATGCACGCAGGTTCAATCCTCTTGCAGCGCAAACGCCTTCCCCCCCGCCACTGCTGTCGGCGCTGTAAGAATTTTTCATTTTTATTTTTTTTTTTACTTTTTTAAACAGAAAAAAAAAGTAATTTTTTTTTTGTATTTTTTTTTGTACTAAAAACACATCCACTAAAACATGACAGTGCTGGGTACATTCAGCAGAGGAGAGAGCGGGAGCCCCTGAGGGGCCAGGGTGGGAAATTAAAAATTGGGAGGAAAGGAAAAAAAAAACCAAAAACCCCCTAAACGGAGGGTTGGAGACGGACGGACGGACGGGGGACACATGGGGACGGCGGCCAGGCTGGGTCTGGGCCCCGGTGCCGGGGGGGACATGGGAGGATTGTCCGTGTGGGAGGGATGGGGTGAACCCCCCTCACCGAGTGAGCCACAGGCTGGGTAAATTTTTCCCCAAAACAGCTATTTTTTGGCCCAATTCAAAGTGGGGGGCGGGGGGACACCCCGGTGGTGACAGCAACGGTCTGGGGGCACCGACCTATGGGGGAGGAGGGCGACAGGATTTGGGGTGCCGAGCGGTGCCCTCCCCCATTGCAGCCCCAAAGCTGCTGCTTTGCACCACCCTACACTGAGATTTGGGTTAAAAAAGGGAGGAAATGGCTAAACAAAAACACGTGCGGGGAAAAATAACACCCCAGCCTCTCCTCCCCAGCGCTCAGGGGAAGGGGGGGGGAATTCACCCCCTATCCCCTTTCCAGGGGGGGCCCCATGGGATTGCTGGTGCTCACGGCGGCTTAAAAAGGGGCCCCCACCATCCCCCTCCCCCAAAACCTCCAAAATCCACCCAAACTGCACCAATATTTACAACATTAGGGGGAGGGGGGGGCTGTATCACCCCTCCCCCCTTGAGCGCAGCACCCAGCGGGGGAGGGGGGCGGGGTGAGGAGCAGCTTTGC